ACAGGCCAGAGGGGCTCACCCAGCCTGGTTCCCTGGCAGGAAACTGAGGCCCAGACAGGGCAGAAATGGTCTCAGTTGCTCAGCAGCAAGGTCAGAATTCCTGCCTCTTAGACGCTGGTGGAACCAGGGCAGAAAGACTGACAGGCCCTCTCTGCTCCACCCACAGGGCCCACACAAAGCTGCACCCCCACCCCGCTCCCCCCCAGCACCTCTCTGTCCCTCCCGAGGAAGGGGAGAGGCCGCCTTGCCCCTCAGGGGCCGTGCTAAAGCAGCTGAGGCTTGGGAGGCAAGTGGCCATGCGCAGGACCTCTAGCCCCAGCTTTGCCCCCCCCCCCACCAGAAGGGAGGGGGGTCGTTCTCTGAAGTCCTCACCCCACAGACCCCTCCCCACCAGGCACACACAGCGTCTGGGAAGAGGGCAGGGGAGGCTGTGCTCCTGATGCTTAATCCTGAGCTCAGTCAGCGCTTTAAAAAGAACCGATGGCTCATCCGCTCAAGCGGGCGTCTGGTTTCGGGGAGGCCCAGGAGGTCAGGGATGGGGGCCAGGCCCACCCACTGTGCTAACCGGGACGGAGCACGGGGAAGGGAGCCAGCCACTGACGCCAGGGAACGTGAAACCGCAGCGGCTGGGGCCAGGGCCACGGTGTCCCGGGAAAGCCGCCCCCCACCCCCACCCCCAGGGTGGTACCCACAGCTCTCCTCTGGCTGTGAGGAGCAAAGAGCAGGAGACAGCCATTCTCTGGGTGAGGCAGACCCTCTTCCTCGGGGCGACCGGATGGGAACCCACGGGTGCCGTCCTGTTATGTTCAGCCGAGGTCAGGGCATGAGGCCGAGGAAGCTTCGGGGCAGCCGTGGCCCCAGCAACACCCCTCAGTGGTCCAGTCTCTCTTGGGGGCTCTTTGTGGACAAACAAAGGAACAAACCGTCAGGAACTGGGCGGCGTTGGTAAGCGCCCACCAGGGGTGGCATTTGGCTCCTGAGCCCCTGACACCCCACACAGGCCTCCCCGGGACCCTCCTGCCATGAACTTAGAGACGTGGTCACTCAGGTGCCCTGTTCACACCAGGTCAGAACACACACACACACACACACATGCCCTTGGGGGGCGGGGCACACATACACACACACATACACACACACACACACACACACACACGCCCTTGGGGGGCGGGGCCAGGACCCCCAAAGCTGGGCCTCGTGGAAGCAGGCAGCACCCGGCTAAAGTGTTAGTCTCGTCTACTTGCTTCTTCCTGTCCGGGGTCTGCATCAGGTCCAAGCCGGGCAAGGACCCTCCCAG